CCCCCCCCCCCCCCCCCCCAAAAAAAAACAAAAAAAAAAAAAAAAAAACTAAAAGCTAAAAATAACAGCACCTGCATGCATTACCACACTACACAGCGAGCAAGCAAGCAATGATGACTCTGTTTTTTATCTCTTTTTTTTTGTTGCCTCCGTTTCTGCCCTGCCTTTTGCTTGTCGATGTTTCCTATTTCTCTCTTCCATTTGCTTTTCCCTTTCCCGTTCTCTCTTACTAGTATAATATTGAAACTTATTTGGTGATAGACTATAACTGTTGACGTCTCGTCCTCGTCCCTTCTTTATTATAGCGATAATGAAGAGAGCCGATAATAATATTAATTTATATAAGTGTCCATAGATATATTTATTTACCTCTCTTATTTCTTCATCGTCTAAATCTCTCAGATATCACCCTCAGTTTCTCCATCAAATCTCATCTGTCTCCAGTTTTACCCTGTTTGATCGGCTCTTTTTAGATTTCTCTCCGTGGCGATGGGAGGAGCCGTAGCCGCTCACCCGCATATACAGCCAGTCAAATACTGCGTACGTACCACAAGTTAATCTCCCATCTATCCACCCATCAGCATCAGCCGACATGCAAAACACTAAAAGCCTCCATCCAACTGCCCAAGTTCCCCTCGGTCGGGAATCTCCTATCTTGAACCCGCCGTCCTCCGTGACTGACGTGTAAGAAAATCTAGCCGACCCTACTGACCAACCCCCTTTTTCCCATCGTCAATTTCGGCTCGAGATCATCCCAACACCCTTTCTCATTCTCCAATCACCTTCACCGTCGCCTATTCGTTCCTTTCCGCCCACTCACATTACAGTTTCTGTTCTGTTCGGCGGTTGCTAGCTAGCGAATGATCGCGTGTGCAGGAACGGGCAGATATGCAAGCCTTGGTTTGGTATTGGGTATATAACCTGGCGGAATCGAGCAGGGCACGGCAGAGCAGAACAGGGCAGTGCATGTTGTAACTCACTCATTATACCATTGGCACAGCCAGTGTGAATCTGCCTTGGAGTATGGACGGCTTTCTTTCTTTTTCTCTTCTAGTCAACCAAGTTAACGAGCTTGAGCCGTCGTTTTTGCTTTTCGGGCGGGAAGACGAAGAGGAGCCAGCCAAGTTTGGTTGAGCCTGTCACGTGATATACATTTTGGCCCTTGAGGCTTTCTTTTGGTCAAGCCGAAGGTGAAACTGGACGTCAAGTCCGCTGGAGAGAGTCAGGCCAGGCCAGGCCAGCTGAGGATGGACGGCGATAGATGGCATGAAAGACTCGAAGGGGGAGAGGATGTGCATTTGGTCCCCGGGCGGGATGGCAAGGATGAACGGCGGCAGCCATTGATTCTATCGCCGTATGCAAGGACCGATGTTTGGATGACGGTGGTGTGATACCCAGGTTGACTTGGACTACACGGACATAGAACGGCTTTGGCTGATCGACTGTGTAGGACTACTTGGTATATATGGGACTATATACTTGTTTCCTGCCTTGAAACATCACCAAGTCAACCGTTCCTTAGGTCGATCAGTTATAGCATACCCCAACCATATCAAACGATGGAGTCGTGAGAGATGGGTTAGCCTGCTGTATGATCTCTCGGATGGTGAATTCCGTCCCCAGAATCTGCGGCACACACAGCTTTCCTACCCTTGTTGCCCGGCGATCAAATCGATCCAGTCCTGATACTTGCTCTCTGCGCTTGCGCCATATTCTCTTCCCAACTGCTTCCCTGGCCTTGACGTTGCTATGCGTGCCCCTTGCGACACGGCGATGAAATACCAATCAGAGGGCAGGGAAGTGGGAAGGGGGGTGAGTGAAGAGGGTTAGAAGGAAGTCGTGGCGTTAGAAACCAGCCTTCTCCTCCTTATATTCGTCATATGGAGACTTTCTCATTCGAACGGATGTTTCTCCCGCCATGCCTGTCATGAGGACGGGAACGAAGATAAGAGCAGGCAGAAGAAAGTAACTCTCTGAGAAAAACCTACAACAAACCCAACCTAACTCCTACCTTGCATTTGGTCGCATTTGCAGTCCTTCAATATGCCTTGGCACCGTCTTGGAAAACCGCGCAACACCACCGCCTCAATTCGTGGCGCCACTTATGGTCTGGTGCTCGGATATTTTATTCTCGAGCCTCCCAGTTGATGCGGTTATCCATGTCGGCTACCCCACAGCGCTTGGGGCAGGGGGGGCCGTTATGGTTATGCTTTGTATAATTCTTCAATTTGAGGGAGGATCTCCAGCCCCATATGCATATATGGCGCAGCGTCTATTAAATGCTTTTCCGTTTCTTTTGTGAAAAAAAAAGGGCCTGTCCTTCTCGCCCTGGCTATTGCAAGGGCACTGGCCCGGATGGCAATGGGACAGAGAAATCCAATGCATGCAAGTGTATGATCTGCCCCAACCTTATTTTGGCCTCTGGCTTTGACCGTTCTAGGGATTTGAAAGGTTTGTATTACCCCAAAGCATGTTCCCTGTCTGCTTATCTATCTGTCCTTTTACGTATTCGCATCAATATTGCCTGTCCATCAAGCCTGTCCAGTACCGCATCAAAGGAAGGCAGGCATTGAAGGATATACCTAAACGACCATCCCGTCCTTATTTATTCCGGCCGTGCCTTGAGGGAAGGAGCGCCTAGTACCAGCCCGAGCAAGCAATCATGCATCCCGTTCTCTTAACTGCATTGCTTTCCTCTGGGGTAAAAACCAAACTGTTGCCAGGGGGCTGAACTTAACCCTGCTTTTGTTTAAAGTGGCCGTTCGCACATATTTTTCTCCAATTGCCAACACATATATTGCTCAGGCATATTTTAGGGGAGGCCCTCGCTATCTTCGGGGGCAGAGAACACAGACAGCAACCCAGCCCATCTACAAGGGTTACAAGGTGGAGCGGAGAAATGATCTAATAAACATACGAGTAACCGGAAGTATCCGATTAAGGATATTAACCGACTATCTCGTTCAAATCCCTCACATATCCACAGATCCATACTCCGTATACGTATTCGAGGTGACCCTCCAGGCACGGAATATGATAATTTCAACCATTTTTCTAACATCTGGGAGATTCAACCCCTTCTTAATCGTAACATTAACCGAAAAAAGTGCTTTCTCAACGTTCAACGCCCTGTCTTCTTCACCCTGCATCCCGGCAAGCCCCGTCGTTCGAGAAGCTGAGTCTGGAGACGCCTCGGCTCCTCTTCACATGCATAACTGCTTGTTTACCATTTTAAAGGCCTTTACGATGCTATACCAGCGCCAGGATTACCATTGGCATGACTACAAGATACTGTGTCTTAAGTCAGCGGTGCAAGATGCCGACGTTGGTGGAGCCATCTAGGTAAGCGATGGGGAATTGAGCAAGGGGGTTAAGCACCATTCCATGATCAACCTACCTCCCTAGCACCGACGAAATGAAATTTAGACACAAGAAGACTGTGCAAAGAAGATAGACGTTAAGTAAATAAAAGCTATTAGCAAAGTCTACCCCCACAGGTTTGCAAGAGGGACCTGGGGAGCCCATTTCTCTTATTAATCAGTTGAGTATTCTAGATCTCGCATAGGCGCCGAATGCTATGGATCGGATGGAGCGAGCTATTGAGAGCAATCCTTGCCCCTGAGAGACACTTATGTGATGGAATAGGAGATGTCTCGCCAGATATGGATTCGCAGCTGAAATTTTAGCTATATCGAGCATGTTAAGTAAACGTGCCTGTGTACCCCTTCTCGGGACATTAAAGGATATTATCCATCTATAGACAGTATATGGCTATAAGACGGGTGATATCAGCGTAGCTTCTCTGCTCTCCAGGACAATATTAACGGATGACCAAATCGGGACAGGCCTTTATCGAAGACACCCTTCCGCTCTGTAAAGCATTGCCGAGTGCTCGGCATGTCTGAGAATTGAATCGCGATGCTTGACTCATCCAGAGCTCTCCCTGGACCACTTGGTCGCCTGCGCCACCAGCATTCCCAGAGCACGCATGTAATTCTAGAATCGTCTTTCTTGGATTTACCCAGAAAGCCCGTCAGGATCACCATTACACACTCGCCAGAATGATTAACCCAACCATAAAAGAGGTCACCTGGCCAGGCGTGTCCCCAGGTCCTATGGCTGTTGGCGTGGGGCCGCTCAAAACCGCACAAACACGGTATATGCTAACGAGTAGAATGCTGAGGGGAGTTGCCTGGTACGTGTACCGCGGCCAGTACAAGGCCTGCCAACGACCTAACCCATCGCACCTGTATTGTGGCTTCTCTCATTTGCAACAGCTTTGAATTGACCCTACCCCGGTTATAAATATGAACCGAAGCCGCCAAGATGAAATGAGATAGTTGTCCTTATCGGAGTTCGGTCGGCACCGTGTCTGTTGGTGATGAGGTTAATAATTGGTTTATCTAATTGGGTCGGACCTACGCTCCAGGATCCCCGAAGGTATCACAGATGTTACCTAGGCATGGACCTAGATATCTCTAGACTTAGAAGACATCCCATATGCCGACCGCGATTCAATGCCGTGTACAGGAGCTTGTGGCCCCTCGGCTAACATAACTATCAGAGTTGCAGCCTGTATAGCTGTCTGCCTCCCAAAGGAAGAAATGGTAACTATGATATTATCCGGCTCTCTAGACCCATCTTTCTGGATTCCTTGAAAAGGTAAAGTAATATTTCACCAGAAATAGATTTACCTTCCATCCGATGGGAGGAAAAGAGTGAGATTAAGACGATACTATTAGGAGCGGTAGAAACGGACACTTACCATGGATGATATTAGCCAGCATGCCAGTATCGTATGACATGGCAGGAGAGCAGTTAACTCTAAAACACACCCTGCAGCCGTTTGAATCCATGGAGGGGAAATAGCCGCCACCTTTGCTGTTGAAGAATCTAACACAATTCTTCAGTGTCAGCTCTTTATATGGAACTGTTTGGGGTGTATATATTGCCAGGCAATATTAGGACCCTCCGAGATCCTTGAAAATGTTTTCGAGAGGCCACTAATCCCCACAGCAAGATAATATCGTGTCTCGGGTATTCTGGATCTGCAAATCATAGAGCTGAAATATGGCATGAATTGGCAGCTTCCTGGGAATATGTCTCTTGTTGACTTCTGAAGCAAACCAGCTAAGAATCAGAACGTCGCCTTATTGGTGAATCAAGTAATAGATATCAGATCTAGGCCTCTGGCGGATCAAAGTCGCCCTGGTATCAACCCTGGACCCCCGCTAGCCGCCAGAGCTCCTCCTTGAAAGGTCCATATGCATTCTATTACGGAGTCTCCAGCGATAGTCCTAGCTATACTGATGCTGTAACGAACTACTGGCGTTGTATATGGGAAAGTAGTAGTAAATCTACGGGCACAAATGCATCAACCAGGGTGCACATAAGGGTATAACTTATTTCTGTATCATGGATCAAGCCAAACCAATGGCCTCTTTAGCTCTATCTGTCCAAATTGATAGCTATCAAACTGATATCAAATACTGCCCGTGGCGTGTCCATCGGCCCCGACGAGGCCGTGACTTGTTGCCTGTCACATGACAAGGCCAGATCCGCTTACCTAATCTGATGTCGCTTGCAGAGATGCCATGGGGGTTGTCTTCTTTGCCTACCTTGCTGCGATGCAAGGAGAATAAGCAGTTGGGATGCATAGGGTGGTCCCTGTCTATTACGTACGTGCAGCTCCAGCGGCAAAAAGTGGGAGAGTGATGTAATTCCTTTCCTCTTACGTATGTCTCCATTACATTTATGTGTATGGATGTGCAAGGGGGGTGGGAAAAGAAGCACACGGTACGCCTGCAAGGATGATGCTAGTCATTTCATCAAGTCATATTGGCTTGCCCTGGCTAAGAGACAGGGCAGGGCAAACGGAACCTTGTAACGGACAAGGTCGCGAGGGAAGTGAGGAAGTGAAGCTAGTTAGGTACATTGGTAGATGAGGATGCGAATGAAGCAAATGCTCAGTCGTGTCAAGAGAAAGAAAATAATACACGCTCTCCATCCATGGATTCGCTGTAAACAGAAGAAAAGTAGGGAGAGGAGAAAAAGAAAAAACAATGCTGAATGTTCAATGCCATGGCCATGGGTATAAACTCCGTACAGTGCAAGCAAGGAAATCATAAAATAGTCAGACAGAAGAAAAAGTGGTGGTCAAGTATGTATAAGAAGAGGAAGAGAAGAGAGGTCTAGAACCACGCCAGCGGTCCGGATTTTGATAAGAATATTGCTTTTGGCGAAGAATGGGGGAAAAGTTGTTAAGGTTTCTTGATATGCCTTTCGTTCCGGTCGTGTCTGGGATGGAATGGAAATGATGTGTAGGTATAGGTCGGTCGAGCCGTGAATGTACCATATGCATGTAAGGGACATGGTAGGGACATGGTAGGGCGAGGGCAAGAGAAGCAGGAGGGCGTGAGAAGCTAAAAAGTGGTAGAAGGAAAAAAAGAAAGGAAAGAGCAAAGATTAATACATGTCATCTTGATATCGGGTGTCCCTGGTGGTTGAGGTAGTTGAATAGCCACGACCACTGGCGCTGCTGCCACCAGACTTCTTCTTCCAACCAAGCTTCATGCCCATCTTCTTCCAGGCATTGTCTTGTCGGCTCTTGGAATGATGATGGTGGGGATGGTGCATGTCACTCGACGGCGGGGTTGTGGGCGGAGTCATGGGATCTCCTGCACCGGGGCTTGAAGGCAGGCTGCTGCCGGAGTCGTCTGTCAGAGTGCCTGAGACCGAGTCACCACTGGCATAGCCGTAAGGAGAGGAGCGGCTGCTGGTGGTAGTTGTCCTGGAGATGGAAGTGTGGTGAGAAGAGGGAGGGCTAGTAGATGGGTTTGAAGAAGAATGGTATGAGAAATAACCACCGCCGGGAGCAGCAGCGGAGCGAGGAGAGGTGACAAAGGAGGACTGCGGTGATAGCCGTTTGCGCATCGACTTGTGACGGCCGACTTCACGGTCCTCAGGAGAGCCATCTCGGGAATAGCTCGGCTGTGACTGGGGCGAGGCGTGACTGTTGAGAAAGGGAATGAAGATTGACTCGTCCATGAGGTCGTGAATTCGCTTGACGGCAGCGTCGAGCGTCTCGGGTGGCGGAGGTCTTCTGAGATTGGAGTGTCTCAGCAGGGCATCCCTGACGGCGCTTGGAAGGTTGATCTCCCTGGGAGATCCCGGCATGACATAGGCGGATAGCAGCCTATGCCAGAGCATGCAAAGGTGGTCTGCTTGCGGGGAGTCGGAGAGAATGGGGAATTCGCCTAGCTGGCGGGAGACGGCATTGTATGTCTCAGCATAGCGCTTGGAGTCCATGGTGAACTCGAGCGTCTCGAGGCAGTGGTTCTGCGAGAGGTAGGCCATGAAGGCCGCGAGCGTGTAAGGAGGAGCTGCGGTGTTTGAGAGCACATCGTCCAGCGTGGGCCGGGAGAGCAGCGGGCCACCTGGAAGCGCCAGACTAGACGGCCGCGAGAAGTGCCAGCCGTCCATCACCCTCTCCTCGTCCGAGTCGAGGACCGAGGGCGCCGGCGAGCTGTAGGCAGACGAGTCTGGCGTGAAGCCTGGATTCCAGGTTGACGGGGTGATGGTGATGGTCGAGTAGCGCGAGCCTCTGCCGCAGGATGGCATCCCCTTGGTGGTACAGCTGGTTGGCTTCTTAGTGTTGGTGTTGATATTGTTGTTGTTGTTGCTGGTGGACCGGCTGCTGGTGTCTCTGGACCGGATATCTTTCCACACTCTGGCCTTCCCTTCCCCCTCCCCCTTGCTTCTGACGTGAGAGGCCGTGCTGGCCAGGGTTACGGATGGTATCTGAGTGGTCTCTCTGAGGCGAGGCTTCTCTGGCGGACGGTGGAATTGGGGGGGTCTGCTCAGTGTTCAGTGTTCAACGTTCAATGGGCGGCAGCGTCAGCCCAGAAGATCTAGTCAATGAGGGAGTAAACACGGCGCATGAGTCTGTCCGTCTTGCAAGTATATGAGGCCAGGGCCAGCGTCTTGTATGCTGGCTGCTGGCTGCCGGCTGCTGGAGGTCGTTGTATCTGGTATGAGGTGTAGTTGTGATGGTTGTGGTGTTGTGGTGTTGAGGTGTTGTTGGCGGGAAGACGAAGAAAGGCGGCGGCTGTTCTCTAGTTATGTATAAAAAAGGACGACCATCGTCGAACCTCACTCAACCAACCCCCGTCGGCCAAAAGTACCCTGACTCGCAAAACACAGTGGAGAGATACTTATAAAGAGATGCTCCACCCAGGCTTCTTCGTCTGCTTCCTCGTCTTTTCTTTTTCCTATTTACTTTCCTCGTTGCTTTTTCTTCTAGTGCGGTAAACTAAACTTGTATCGACTTGGTACGAGGGCAGCCAGCGAGACAGCGAGGAGACGCAGACCAGAGCATGAGAGACCGCAGGAGGAGACCCCCCCTCCCCCCTTGTATGACCCCGGAGCCCTGCCTCTGCCGCCTGCAAGGATGGGACGTCTTCTTTTTTTGCAGGACGAAGATTTACAAAAAAAAAAAAGGCAGACGAGTTGGAGATGAGGAGGACCAGGGCGAGGATGCGCCGGCGACTCGACCGGTAGCCAGGGCAGCAGTTCTCCCCCCCTTTCGCTGCTGGCTGTGCTGTTTGCCTCTACTTGTGGTTCGATATATCAGGTAAGGGGATTCTTTTCACCTTCTAGGAAATTGCTAAGGAATGAGTTCCAGATTTATTATTGCTTTTCAACCTTCGATTATAAAGCCTATAAGCTATATTATGACCTACCAACCAGCGATATAATAATCACTTTCTAGCCTTAACTCTCTCTCTCTCTCTTTTCCAGAGTTTCCAGAGTTTGAAAAGAAGGAGAGAAGAAGCAGAGAGGAGAAAAAGCAAATAATAACAAAAAAAAAGGTAGAAAGCCCAGTTCCCAGCAAAAGGTTGGAAAAAGCAAGGGGGGCCAGAAGAAGCCAGCCCAGCAAGCCGACATTTACGGTCGCCACCCCGGAAGCAAAAAGAAGACGAAGAAGAATCTCTCCTTCTCTTGGGCTCTTTTTGGGCTTTGGACTATTATTTGCTTCTTCTAAACGGATCGTCAGCAAGGGATTTACGGTTTGTGCTTGTTCGATGCCACCCGCAAGTGTGACGCCAACGATCGACTGGGACGAACCGTGAAAACAGGAGAGAACAGGTAAGCTCGAGAGTTACCTTTTTGAGGGTCAATGACCAAGCCCTGGAGGAGGAAGCATCCAGAGAAGACAAGAAAAAAAGGGCACAACAGAAAGAGTGAGAGCCTAGAGAGAATAAGAGACAGACAGAGAGAAGCTGTTGCTTTTTTTCCTTCGCTTTGGTCGTACCTGAGTCTGTTTCATGCATAATAGACAGCGGCAAGTGGAGACATAGGGATGAGATATTACACGCTCTCTGCTCTTCACTGCTGGTCCTCTCGATCACAACTCACTCCCAGGTGCTTCCGGCAGCTCCGTTAAGAAAGAAATATACGGGATTGAGATGGGATGGGATATATTCCCTCAGCAAAACAAACGGCCACTAACAACGACGCCGGAAAGGCCAGCAGAAACTTCGAGTAGCTATCCTGAAGATTTCGACCGGGACCAGCTTCCACTTTTCCACCAGCTGGCTAGAACTCGGCCTGGGGACCTTGCCCTGTCCATCTACCAGTCCTCTCTCTCCAGGTCGAGGTTCTTTTTGCTCTGCATCTCTCTTGTCCTTGCAAGGGCTGCTTCCGGTTGCACAGGACGATAACTAATTAACTTAACTCCTCTCCTCGCCCAGGAATCATACGTTCATCATCCCACTTTTATGTTCCTTCTTACACTCCCGCTTATCATCCTATCCTCTTCCTCTTTACATGGTAGCACCGAAGACTGTCCAGGGGTGTGTGGGAAAGAGCAGGCAGTCAAAAGGACAGCGAAAGCCAAACCCCCACACCCCAGGTCCCCCATGAAGGTGCAACATCGACAAGAAAACAATAAATATATAAGACTCGAACCCATTTCGAACAGGTCCACGGGTCGTCAAGGCCCGGGCAAGTCTAAGCAGTGTCACGGCCACAGCAGTGCTGTCGTTGGACGCCAGCGAATAATAGGAGCCAAAAGCTCAAGGTGTACTCCGTATATCAACAGCCTTTATGAAGAATCAAGCGCCGAGACGACGAAGGAAAAACAAACGAAAGGGACAAAAAAGATACATTCTATCCCTCCTGCACATCAGTTCATGCCATGAGCTCTGTTTTGAATCTGGCGGGTAAAAAAAGAGTAAAGCTAGGATCAGGCCATAAGCTTCGCAGAAACCACCTACGAAGACTATCAGCAAAAGGCTACCTGATGATGCTCCGCGCAGATGCCCAAAAAACAATAATAAATTGCATGCACATCGTGGACAACTGAGAAAGTACCGCAGATTACGCAGCACCCAGTCCGCACTTACTCAGAGGATAACTATATCAACAAGGGTAACAAGAGCGAGTCTCACAGCATCTCGTTACATACAAGTGGTACTAACAACGCCCATGACTACATCCTAGAGAGGAAAAATGGCCTGCCAAGTCACCTTCAGGGCAAAAGCAAGAGAAGAGACAGGGCAAGGGTTCCATTTCTCCATTTTGGGGCCAGAGAAAGAGATGCAATGCCTCTGACGCCTCGTTTGCTTCATCCCGATGGTGTGGATGATGAAGAAAGGTGGCCTGACTTAACATGCCAGTTTCATCATCGACAGTTCACCATAAACCGCCTAATAAGCTAACCAACTCTCACCAGCTCGAAGCGAGATGTCGGCGGCAACTCCAGGCAAGAGCGGGAGGGAGAGAGTAATTAAGCCTGACAATTAAAATATTGGCTATGACAAGCACCTATAGGCGCCGTCGGCGACGCAAAAAAAAAAAGTGACAACTTTTCTGGACTTCTTTTAGCATCGATGACATCCTTACCCGGGCTGCCGATCGTCCTTTTTGCTTCTCGTTTCTTTTTTTGCTCCTCGTTGCTTTTTGTTGTCTGCTTTCTCTGCCCCTTCTGGGATATCAGGCCAGGAGCGAGAGAGAGACTCTGAGAGAGGGAGAGAAAGAGATATACCGCCGATCTCCTGGGCACAACTATCGTCATCTTGACCTCGTTTGAGCACAACAACACGCACACACGGAACAAATCATTACTACAACTATATATTTGCGCCGATACGGGGGGGGAATAAAATAAAAGAAACCCACTCATGCATAGCTAAAATACTACTATCATGAAGGAAGGGAAAACGGCGAAAGAAAGAAGATTCCATGCATGAAGACTGTTCGGGAGGGCAGCTGTGAAACTATCATGAAGGGCGTGGATGCTGTGTGGCGAGTCTTCCCCTTCTCCTTTCGCTTGTTCTCCTCCCCGCGACGGTGAGCGAGAGGAGACCCGTCGGGTAATGCAGGGCATGATGTCAGTTGATGTCCAAAAGGCGTTGTGTTGGCCGATAGGGGAATTTTAAGCTGGGTGATCTAAAAATGTCCGGCCAGTTGACGTTACGCCCCTTGTTTCAGACGGTTCTCCAGTTTAAAGGGAACCCATCCCATTCAGACAAACGGACGAAGCAGAGGAGAGGGGGGGAGGGTAAACACGACGGAGTGTATGGAACATGAATGAGAAATTCGACTCTTCGATGCGTGGATGCGTGTTCCTGTGTGCGCTGTCATGGTATGTCACAGATGCTCCATACAATCGAGATCCATGCGCGATGGCCCGGATCTCGCGGCCCATCAGGAGCATCCAGAGAGCAGTTGCATATACTTACTCCGTATAACAACTGCTTACGACTCGCCCTACTCGCTGTCGACACATTCCCACGGAGCAAGAAACTTTCCGGAGTGACAAGGGAGAGCTTTGATAAACACAACTTATGCTTATACTATCAGCTAAACAGTCGCACTAACGAGCAGACAAGGAGGGGTGGGCAAAAGGGCGAGTTTCCGGCTTCGCTTCCTAGGCGCTGTACATGCAAGGCCTGCATTCGTAGCGTACCAGTGCCATGGGGACTTATGTCTGCGTCGGAATCTCAGGCGTGTATCCGCCCAGCGCCTTGATACGGGAAAAACATACATCATACGTACGACTCCGTACTGCGAACAATCATCAGGAGACGTCCTGTCTAAGCGATATGCATGGCGGCGCCTTTTCTTGAGGCTGACTTTGGATAGCCATGCCATCGTGCATCGGGCATTCCTGTCTCTCTATCGGCCAGCGAGCAGCAACCAGATCGTGTTGCTGCCACACCGCTCAAAGGGGGCCAGCAGGTAGCTACGTGCTGGCCATGCATGGAAGCCACATCATACGCCGTCTTTCGACTTCGACGCTGGCGGCAACGAACAGCCTCCAACAAAGAGACCTGCATCCTCAACGTGGGCCGCAGTGGGAAAGGGGAAAAATCTGAAAAAGATATGCAAAATAAATCGCGCTTTCCCCCCTTGAACAAACAAGGGTTCGCCATCTTTCACTCTCTCTCCCTCTCGTTTGGCCTCTTGAGTATCCATCCAGAAGTGGGATCATAGGGGTCTGAGATAGATTATCCTGTTCGTCCCAGTCGCGGGATGGTTAACTATTTCGTAATTGAGACCACGTATATTCCCTCCACCAAATCGCCGATTGGCATGGTGGTGAGGAGACGGCTGTCAATCTTTCTCGATCAAAAGAAAATGCCCGCACTGGGGCATCTCCATCAGCATCCATCCAACGCACCATTGACGGAGTGTCTCTCCGTATAGCTCACACTACCAACTTAGTCTCCGGATTGCTCAACGGATAATTCCAACATCTCACAGATAAGCTTGACCCTCCACCCCCTTCGAAAGGGTATTAACATGCCGCTTGGTATAGGGCTAGGAAATGGAGCGAAAATGGGGGTGGTGGATGTCTCTTCCGTCAACATCGTTGGCCGAGCATCTCACAGGCTCCCTCGCTCTCCACCCCCTGAACCCCTGTCCGTATTTATACACAGTGTACAGCAAGGTGTAAGGAACCCAAGCAACCAAAGGAAGAAAAAAAAGGCCGCAATCCCCCTTCTAGAAAGGTTCTGGAAGACAACTCCCGTCCTTTCATCCTTGTCCCTGTCCGCTTGTCCTTCTAGAATCCTTCTAGCACATGCATCCAAGTGACGAGGGTGGTTGGTCAGTTACAGCTCCTCGGGACTCGCCGCTCCTTTCTCCCGGTCGAACTTGAGAGGTCCTAGACGGGGAAGCAGAAAAGTGACATCAAGGTAGTCTGCGACTTCTCGCCATCATCTAGCTGGCTGGCTAGCTAACTAGTTAACGGCTCTGTTCCATCTAGGCTGTTTATGAAAAAAAATCTCTGCTTTTACTTTTTTCGCCACTATCTGGCCGTGCTTCTCTCGGCTATTGGCAACTTCCCGTCAAAGGGTTTTCTTCCCAGGCGGCTGGCGGGCTGGTGGCACCGTCATAAAAGCAAGTAATTACTATACTTATATTGCCGTACTCCACGGTAGACGGGGACAAAAAATATGCGTCCAGCCCTACGCCCGGCCCGGGGGAGATATTGCATGCCAATACGGAGTAGCTCAACGGCAGAGATTTTTTATCGCTGATGTATATTTCTACTTACTTGGACTGTACCCACCTTGTATATCATCGCCGTCCCCTCTCCATCGTCATCTTCATCGTCATCACCACATCCGTCACTAGGCGAGTTTATCTCTTTTTATTATATTATCTTGTTTATGTTTATTCTATTATTTTATTTTCGCCTCCAGGCTAACTAACTAACCAGTTGGCCGAAGTGAATTCGATATTTGACGTCGCTAAGATCGACTTCTACTTATATACGTCCAGGATACTCCCTACCAAACACAGAGTCTATCCCGATCTCGCTTCCGAGACTATTGATATCAAACACGCACACATGCAATACTCTGACAACAAACATTGCCATCGGCTTTGCCCGAGCTAACCAAGTGAAAAACTGCAAAAAAATAAAAAATAAAAAACGACGAGCCCGATTTAACTATCTTTTTATCCGTTGATGCTGGCAAACGGTTTATTTATGCGAGAGGAAAATAAACCACCAAGAAAACCCCCTTCAACTGATCGATGTTAATTTTAAGGTGAAAAAATTAAGATGATTTTTTTAAGGGGTGAACCCGACTGATCTAGATCATCCTCCCCCTAAGAGGATATGTTATCCGGATCTTCTCCTGCTTTTGCTCTGGTTTTGCTGCTTCCCGCCTGAACCTCCGCCATGGCAAGGCCTTCTTCTCGGGCCTTGAGCCGTCCCTTTCTTACTGATCCAATGCATGGCCTCTCGAATTCGACCTTTGACGTCCGCTTGATTGGGTCGGGGCCTGGCTTCCGGTCGAATCGTTCTTCGTGGTCGCTTGCCTCTTGACTCAAACAGGCAAAAGGCGTTCTTCTTTAAGAGAAGCCCCCCTTTTGCTTTTTTACCAATCCTTTTGCCTCTGTACCAGTGCCTCTTACCAATTGATTATTCAAGCACTAACTATACGAGTTCCTTTGTTCCTCCCCTTCATTGGGCACCTCAGGCTCGAAGGTTCCCCAGGCTTGACGCATGGCTTGGTTGCTCCGAAAACGGCGTTCAGGCAAGCTGCAGCCATTAAATAATAATAATAATAATGCAGACAATGAAGAAGCAGCAAGATGACCCTTTTTCTGTGAAGATTGATGCTATAAATAACATCACCTATTATGATTTACTTCGGCGTCCCCTTGGATTTGGGCCGTGAGGAGTTTGGGCCTCAGCCAACGGCTTCCCTCTGGACGAGGCGCCGCCTTGATATACATGCAAAGGGGCCCTCGAGCAGCCTCCGCAAGCGCCAGAGAGTCAATGCTACAGGCGCAGAAGAAATCTCCCTGTCGCTTGAGTCAAGATTCATGCCTTTCCCCAGGAGTTTCTTTTAATACCAACGATGCCTCAAAGGGGTCATCGCTGGCGCCGTGTCCGCGCTTCCCTCTTACTGACTATTAATAATAGACACAGACTACTCGTTTCGCTTCAAGCGGTTGAGAACCGAACTAGTAGCTGTCGGTGGTTCCCGATGCGTCCGTTGGCCTGCGTCTCTCCCTGGTCCTTGGGAAGGAGAATCTGGGGGATGGCTGGATGAGATCGTCACGAGACCCGTCTGCTCGGTAAGGGGGTTCGATGTTTGAAGCCAGCGATGGTCGGTAAGGCAGAAACGAGAGGGGAGAAAAGTTGAAGATGTCGCCATCGCCATGGAGAAACAAGAGAAAGAAGGTTAAGACTTTAAAGTCTTCGAATTATTAAGGTCTATCGATCTCCGTCATGGCTCCATCCGAATCAGTTTGATATCTTCGCGCTTGCTGGTGGACTATACATGGTAGATCCTGGCTATCAAGTATCACATGTCCGACTTCTTCTCCAGCTTCTTCATCTCGTGGATCAATCACTGCGACTTAGTCTGGCGTATATACAAGAGATATACGCTACTATCAATGAATCTTGCCAATCTAAAGGGTGTGTGGGGAGCAGTACTTGCGCCCTATCGCCAGTTCCCCAGTGTTAGCCGGGAGGATTGGATCAATCTGGAAAAATTCAATACCAGTCCGTCGTATTTGTCGGTGACTACAGATGATGATGACATGGCGACATTCGATTTGATCAAGTGAAATGACACGAGAGGGAGGTGAAAGCAAAGCAGGACGACCCTCTCTCGCTCCTTTCCCCATCCCTCGGCCCATAAGCATGGCAAGGGCAGGCAAGGAGAGTACCCTGATGCATACTTCTCGTGTTTATCGGGCCGCAAGAAGCTGGCTTTTGAACGGACGGACGGCCAAGAGAGAGGATGCTTGTCATTGCCCACACGCGCACACATAGGAGACTCAGCTGTTGGAATTATTAATGTATACGAACCAACGCCTGGAAATGAGCAATATTCCCTACGCTCGCCTCCGGCCCATGATTGTCCAGTTTTGATCCCCGGTAAGCCCGGCCAAGAAGGTCGCCGTTGGGAAAAAGGAAGAAGATACCTAGATGGCCAAGCTTTGCGGGGAGGACGAGCATCTGGGGTAACTTGTCTTCCTTCCCCGTACGACTTTTGGTATTGGGTGGGTGGATGTTGATGGCGAACCCGTTGAAACTATCAGGGTTCTAGTGTAGGCAGATGGATTAGCCAGCTATAACGGTGGTGTCTCTATGGCTATCATCAGCTCATCGTGGCGTTCCTCCCTTGACCGTCTTTTTCACTTACTCCTACCCGGCCTTCTATCATCTCGGTTGAGAGAGTGTGATAGAGATACTCGGAGATTGGACTCTTGGTCTTCCGTTCCCTGCCAGTTATACCATAACCCATATTGAAGGATGCACAATGTCATCATCGAACGGGATGGATACAACATCCCTCGGCGCTTGTTGACTTTTCTGGGGTTGCCGGAACTGCCGGTCTTCTCTCCCTTGCCTCTCTCGTATACTTGCTCGACCAAGTATGCATACTTACAGTCTTAGTTGTATATACACATATGCTTTATCATGTGTGTATATATATATATATATAGCTGCTTTCTTATCGAACACGACCCTGAGCCCACTTTCAATCACATTATCGCCAAACTAGTGCCGTCAAATATCGTCATGGTTATCCCTCCCACCGTGATAGCTGCTGCCCACTATTGGCCGCGGATCAACGGCCCAGGATGCCGACAGACTAGGGGCTGTGTTTATATGTCTGGGGAGGAGTTTATTGCGTGGGCCTGCAAACCCTGGAGAGGGTTATTCTGGTGACCCCGCGACCTGATGGTGCCAGATTGATAGGTGATGCTTGTTGCTAGTTCATGCAACTATAACCAGATGGTTGGATAGGAACGGCGCCGTTTCAGCAGCGCAACCATAAGGGCGATATGGGGTTGTGGAGTCGTCTCTCCCGCTGTCATTTTTGCAACTGAAGGACTGACGCACGCCTGGATGTCGAATTGAAAGATGGGTGGTTCTCCATATTCAACTCTATGGATCCATGTTTATGATCCGTGATTGATTGATGTTTCGACGATCACGGCGAGCAGGGTGGGAAATGTTGCGTCACTGACATCTATATTTCAAACAGCATATACGACACACTGCTCAACAGTAGAACTCAAGGCCATTTGCGCTTGTAAGACATTACAGGCTCGTTGGCATTGGGGTTTAACATATTCTACATTCGGTGTACATCGCTTGCATGGGCGAATCAATGACATATACATATATTAAGAGACAAATATGTTTATATATAAAAACCATGTGGCTATGCGCGGCTGCAAGGCACACAGCCAGACCCTTCGCTTCTGCCTCCGTCTTTGTTGCTCTAGAAGAGTAGCAGCAATATAAACCATGCATCCTGATGCCACGAGATGCATACAGGAAACGAACTGCATGTCATCATCATCATAATCTTCCTGCTTGGCCTGCCTGTATCGTTTCTTCTTCGCCAAAAAAGAAATCAGTTGAATTGGACTACCTAATCTGGCGATTGGTAGCGAAGATACCCCGATTAGGGGCTTCAAGTGTCTTCTTGGTCGGCTACGAGGCAAGAGAAATATTTTTATACGGCGTATACAGCAGAGAAGGGAAGAGACGCCGTCCTTCATCTCGTCTATGCATGAAGAGGACCTTTTCTTCTTCCGATACCTGCAGCTGTCTCCTTATGGGATGGAAGATGGACCCGGCCACTCGGCGTTTGCCATGTTGTTTGTTATTAATTCCCAGTGAGTCACCGGCCAGCAGGGCTGCCGTTGCCTCGACGAGTTGAGATACCCCAGGAAGAAGCAGCTGATATAAAAAATAAATAAAAGAAGGGAGAGAGAAAAAGAAACATATTATATCCAGAGTCCCGGTATCTGGGAACCCCCTTCAAATGGTTGAGATCAATATCATACCATTCATCTGGAATTCACTAGCGATATTAGCTACCAATTATACCCCCTGAGGGGGGTCCTTTGAAGGATGACCTCCTTACGACCTCCAAGGGGCCTCGGTTTACAACTTTGCGTACAGCTTATCTGTTGGCTCAAACGGATACGTGAACTCTCCTTCCCGGCTTTGTCTCTAGGGAGGCGACGTCCGTCTGCCAGCCAGCGTGTTCGAGGCGCTTGACCCTGTCCTTAAACGTCCTCGTATGCTCCCGCAGTGTGTCTCTCAAAATAGATAGTACCGACACCGACGGTGACAGCTCACCCTGACCGCCTTGTTTCTCGTGTATGCAAGTAGCTGTGCCATTTTTTCTTGCCAGATGTCGAGAAACAAGAAGCGCATGACTCCATGCTTTCAGCTGTGCTTGTGCAGTAGCTCCGGCCTTTAGTACGATGGCCCCTCTGCGGGACAGGGGGTCAAAGTAGAGGATGTACTCCTCTTCTCCGAATAGTTCGAGAAGAGCCGTCAGATTGGTACTGGCTTCCATAGTTGTGCTACTCGTTTGGCTGGTCTCTAGGGCGCCTCTATCAGCCTGTTCAGGTAGGAGTAGTAGTAGCTGCTCCAGGGAGGTTCCAATTTGACAGGTTCCCAGAATACCACTAGATTCAGCTTTCCATCGGAGCACGCCGTCTCTCTCGAAGATTCGTTCTTCCTCGGAAGTCTCGGCTGGTGTGAGGATTCGATCGTCCTCAAAGAGATGGGAGAAGACAATATTGGCACGCTGGCGGTTCATAGTTGTCATTTTGACTGCCCTGACTGCGGCGTGGTTTGTCCCCAGGTGTACGATGAGTAAAAAGATCAAGGCAATCCAGGTTTCTAGTGGTGATGTGATGTATGAGACCACTACACTGCCGACCTGTATGTCTCCTTAGTTCAGTTCAATTGCAACGGGCATGAATAAAAGAAGAAAGAGTGCATACAAGCATTCCAGCGAGAGATATAACGGTTTCCTGACTTGAATCTTTCTGTTCAATCACCATCAGCTTTACTCTGTCGATTGTGATGTAGGATATTTTAGTCCTACCGCATTCAACTCTCCCAGGTTCCCCCATCGTGCAAAATGAGCACTCAAGCTGGCCTTAGAGCTACCGGCTGCAACACCACACAGTGCCCTCAGCACACTGGAAAGACTGAGAAGGCCTACTCTGACAGGCTTAGGGAAAATTGGGGACAAACAGTCCAGCACCATCGCTGAATCGTTAAGAATGTCGGCGGCCAGCCTGTACATTTTACATTCTGGCTCGAGTGATGTCCCGAGACGATGAGCAAACAGGATGGTGGCTATCCTGCCCATACTTTCCTGCAGGACATTGAGAAGCAGGGCTGCCGTGGGAGACGCAGTGGCATCTCCGACACCGACGCCTGGGAGATGTTAGCACAAAATTCTCAATTGTCTTTAAGGCTGAGTGCATGCCTTGAAGGACTGCTCTGGATGACAGGAGGCCTGCAATTGAGCTTGAAAATGCTTGGAGGGAGTCCTGATGTACAGCGGTTAACTTCATATTCTGTCTGATACCCCGAAGCAGCATTGTTTATGGACTAACATAGATTTGATACCTAGATGCCTAGAGTCAGCTAGGTGCTCACGACGCCCAGAATGAAGGAAGACTCACTCAATGTAATCGTCTGTGACGCTGTGCGGGTATCCAGCCGGTAGGAATACGTTCAGGATGGACGTTAGGTAGGAGGTTGATGACGGGGGTTTTGGCGGCAACTGCAGCAGGTCAGCATCGACTTCAGCATGTCAAGTATGAGCAACATCCTTTTTCCAGCATATGATACGTCTATGATACATCTTATGGCATGGGCCTCACTACAAGCTGCGAGGAAATGACATTTCGAGTGTATATCAAATCAATCGACGTCAACACTCAAGGGTGCATCCACAACATCCACAACCACCCATGAACCACAAATCAAGCATTTGCATTGGTATAAGCTTCGGTAACCAGGCTTGTAACAGGATAACATACAATGATTTCCACACTTCCAGGCCGGCGCTTCGACCGCCGCTTGCTGCTTGGACAGAGATAGGTCTTGACCGTCGTACCGATCTCGTTCGTCTCCTTGACGATCAACTCTGGTGCCGTGGCTGGAGCCATCCAAACGGAACCGCAGCCTACCAGGCCGCCGGTGATTGGAGTCTTACTTATGAGCAAGGTCAAGAGAAAAAGCTGGTTTCCAGGGATGAGACGAAAGCTTCTGCTCGAGCGTGGCTGAAGGGGGTTGCGTTGAAGTTGGGCGGCTGCATATTGGTCGAGCAGGCCGATATTTCGCCAGCCAAGGGAGCGAACTCAGTCGAGCGCCGGGGAGTTTCTACAGGACATCACGCTCCAGGAGTTGCCACAAGGACCAAACCGGCCCCGTCTGGTTGTCTCTAGTTTATGTCGCTTGGGATGGCCCTGGGATGGCCGCATTCAGCGTGGCCAGCCATGGTTCATCCAGCGCGAGAGCACCGGACAGCTGTACAATTACGCAACGAGCTACTATGTATAGAAATAATCTGGGGTAAAGCTAGATAAAGCTGGGGAGCTCTGGGCGAGAGATAAGACAAGCGGCCGTCTTCGTATTGGCAGAGCAGAGGGAATAAAAAAGGCCGGTTGCTGGTTCTGCGTAGGCTCGAAGCTACCAAAAGGGCTGGAAGCGAGGAAGCCAAATAACTACTCCGTACTTAATATCAAACATCCATAAAAGTACATTATTGGTCAAGGCCAAGAGAGACAAGACAGACCAGGGCCGGATAGACCGTGGAAAGCAAGGAAAGACGGTGGTCAAAGTGCTCAGGCAGGCGGCCCTCCTCCCCCTGTTCCTAACGCACGCTGCGAGATGTTCGGGATACAAGGAATCGGAGGACAGGGGGAGGTGGTGGCCTGCATGCAGAGAAAACGCCGAAGATCACCTCATGCTCGGGATTATATCTGTCCGTCTGTCCGCGGCGAGGTCAGACACTGGAGATGTATCGGAGACTAGAACGCCGACAGTACAGGAAGTTGAGGAGCTGGGGAGGTCGGCAGGTAGGTAGAGAGAGAATGATATACTAGTTAAGTAGCATATTAAAAGGATAAAGGCAGGTAAGTACAGTTGAAAAAGGTCGTACAGTACAGTGCAGCTTTGTCCGAGTCCTCCCGCCCTCCATCTCCAGCCAGCAGCCCGCCTGCCCGTCGCTCGCTGTCGCTCAAAAATCCAGCCGGCCAACCAGGCCCAACCAAAAGGCCCCTCCATAAACCAAACCATGGAAAAAGCAAGGAGACAGTTCCCAACCCCAGTGATAACGAACTCTGTAAAAGGAGGTGAAGAAAAAGAAACGAGAAGTAAAAGTGATGAACTCCGTCCAGCGCCGATAAGCTGAGAATACCTAAGCTTCAGGTTAAAAGTAAAAAGAAAGAAAAAAAAAAAAGGAAATGGGAAGGGAGGAGTAGAAACCGGAAGACTGTGTTGCTCCGTGAAGTGAACTGTTCGCTTCGTTGCCATGCTGTAATGCTATGCTGAGCTGTTCCGTGCAGCTGCTATTCTGTTGTTTCGTTCTCATGCAGTTGTGCCATAATTTTTGCTTGTGAAGGGCGGTATATAATGATCCGAGAAAGTGGGCAAAGAACACATCTCCTTGCTCGGAAGTATACAGGCGTCGTGTGTCGGGTGGGTTTTAGTGTGTTTTATATATCCCCTTGTCGAAACCAGCTCAGCTAGGTGGGTATATGTCGTGGCAGTATATGTTGTTTTGTTCTCCGTCTGCATCGTAAGCTCCATCATTCCGTCCGACTCATTCTTGTCTTGGGGGGGTAAAAAGGCCACGGTAAAAGGCAAAAGAGTGTGCCATTAGCCAAGACCGGGGAGCCGTTCAAGCGAACATGCTTGCCCCGCCGGTCTCGATGGCATCGATCTCAGCCTGAGACCAGGGAGCACGTCTGAATCTGGCGGGGAGGTCGTTGCGGTCGAAGTACTCGCCCTTCTTGGGGGTGACAGGGCCCAAGGCAGCGCCCGAGGAGGCTCCGATGCTGGAGAAGGGGCGGTATGTGGTGTTGAGAGGACCGTGCTGCTGGGCTTTGGCACGGTAGGTGACGAAGGAGTCCGGGAGCTGGTGAGTCGGCGAGGCGGGATGGGGTTGGGGAGAGTGGTCAATGGAGGCTAGCAGCAGTCAGTCAGCCAGACGAGCTCTCCAGCATCACCGAGGGGTTCCTTTCTGAGCATACCTGGGATGGAACGCTTGCCCATGAACTTGATCAGAGGCTGGCGAGCTGCAGCAGCTTGGCGGAGAACGGTGGTGGCCTGCATCTTGAAATTGGCTGTGCTGGTTGAGGTCGAAGAGGGAGCTGTTGATGCTGTAGCGGCGGTAGCTGTCTGTGGTTGCTGGGGTCTGCAGGCTGCGGGACTGATATATAGACTGACACGAGGGAGTTGCAATTGTTGAAGATGTTGAGAAAAGGAAGAAAGTGTGAGAAAAGCGAGAGTTTTCGTGTTGAGCTTCGGAGCTAACTAGCGGGTGACTAAGCGGCGGGAGGAAAAGGTTGAGCAAGGAAAAAACCGCGACGGGCGGAGAGATAAGGAAGCACGGCGCACGCTGATTGGTGCTTGGCGCGGCGGCCTTATCTCGGTGTTCGGTTCCGTCTTCGGCGCCGGGTCGGCTGCTTAGGTAATGGCTTATGTAAACGAACCGCTGCTCGCGTTCGGCGCGATAAGGCGGCGATAGGCAGACTTGGAGGCCGAGAGGCGACGACGACGACGACGACGAGGAGAAGAAGAAGAAGAAGACGAGAAGACGAGAAGATGCATGAGATCCTCCTGTTTGCCTCCGTCCCCGCGGCCCAGCATGACGACTTGCTGCACCAGCTCGCCGGGCTGGCCGCCATGCAGCCGACGGAGGTGCTGGAGCGCCGCCTGCTCTTCAAGTCCTTCCGCAAGCCGGGCTACATCAAGCCGCGAGTCGGCGGCAGCCAGGCCCAGGGCCAGGAGGCGGCCTTCAGCGACGTCCAGCGGCTAATCAAGATGCTGGGCTCTGGCATGTACCATATCCAGGTTGTGAGCGATGTCGACAGGGCCGCCAGCAGCGCCGACGGTGGCGCGATGGGCGTCGCGGAGGACCAGGCAGAGTGGAGGATCGAGTTCAAGGACGTCCCTGATGCCGGAGCTGCGACTGGCGTGACCACGCGGTTTGCGGCCTCTGCGCGGGTACCCGACTACTACATCTCCTCCTTGAACGAATGGGGGTTCAAGTAGGTTCTTACTCCTCGGTTGAGCTGTTATCGTTTGTCTTGTGATTGACTGACCAACGAACGTCTTTTAGCTATTGCTCTGAATATGTCGTTGAAGGCAACATCCTCGTTCTCGATGAAGCAGTTCTCTTCCTCCACCGTATACTTGTCATTCCTCCCGAGATACACAAGCCATCACATGCTGGAAAGCCTCTCTCCCGCTTGCCGCCATACGACCAGCTAAAGCCCCTCGATTCCAATGGAGGATATGTCCTGCAGGCGTGCTTTACAATACAAGACAGCAACAGCCCCGACTTGCTTAGGTCGACCTCCCAGCGCATGCTGGCGCTCAAGGAGCAGCTGCGGCCAGCCATAAGACTCGAGCCGGGGGACAGGCTGGCTCTTGATCCCAGAGTGAAAGCAGGCACTCTCTAGACACAGGCACCAATTGCCATGGCATACGTAGATTCTGTACAATATTTTAGAGCCCAACACCGCTGGCGACCAACTAATGACTGAGCGTTCTCGTAATATACCTGTTTTCTTCCTCTCTTCTCTGGACTTTTGTCCACTGGGCTTGATGTGTTGATATATCCCCAAAAAGGGTTAAATGGGGGATATCATGGCACGTGACTTCGCGTTCGCGCCAGAAAGTTTGAAAGCTTAAATTCGCCTTTTCAGCCTCAAAAATAGTTGTTACTTTTAAGTGCTTGCTGCCTGGGGCGATATCAACAGCAAGAGATAG